ACCTTTGTGTATCCGTATAAAAGAACACCTAGATGGCAAACGAAAACTAAGACGAAGCACCCCACTAGGCACGCATAGGATACAAAAGCATAGCGGAGACGATTTTGAAGTAAAAGTCAATATCCTTGCACAGGAGTCCAAAACACCAGCGCGAAAACTCCTTGTGGCTTTTTGGATCAATGCCAAAAACCCTACAATGAATAGCAGGGATGAATGCCCGGAGGTCGTACGCGACCTGATCCCGTACGTTCGCATCGATTTTTGATATGGGATGGTGCAGTCGTCAACCACATGCGACTATAATCAGCTGTTCTAAACTTCCTCATTGGAAGTCACGAAAAAGCGGTGGGTTTTTCGAGAAGTTGTTGATTGTGTAATTACCAAAGAGTCTTTCGTCTTTGTGTAAGTGTTATTGAAGCGTTTGGCCTAGTAGATTGTATATCAGTATACCCTTCCAGGCTTTGAAGAAGGCGATACTGCCGAAACGTCAGCTAGCGTTGTATTGTATTGTTTTTTTTATGGAAATAAATGTACGCTGTTTTAAAAACCTTGCGATTGCTGAACAAGAAAACGACACATTCATATTCCAATGCCGAGGTTAAGAGAAAGTCGAGCCTGGGAACTATGTTATGAAAATCATATTAAATTGTGACTAATAATACGAAGTACACTCATTAACGTTCTCCAATCATGTATGCTTTTAGCGACGAATATCAAATAAATTAGAAAGCTGAATGGACTATATGGTTTTAATATGATAGTCTGTTCTAGGTCCGATTTTAACTAACTATTCTCCATATAGCAGTTTGTGTTGGCTTGATTTCATAGGTCTGTGTATTGTGGAGATTAAAGGGATAAATAAAGTTATGTCGTAAAACTCACCTAAAATTGATTAGAATCATTGTTGTAAGAGTTTCTTAAACTACATATTGGAGTTACATATTTCAAAAACATTGGAATGCAAAGAGGAAGACAGAGGTCACGGAGGACGGAAGAAACAGGAATTACCAAGAATATTCGTGAGACCGGGTTTTGTTACGACCCGACGTCATTTGTAACACGTGCGGATACCAGCTGCTCTTGGACTTAATTCGTTCACTTGCATCAACCTTCTATGATGGTCTTCCAGCTTTTTTACATGTAGCTTCGACTGGTGCTTGAAAATTTCTTTTTCACATGGTCGCGAATGCCGTTGAATTCTGGTCAGTTGATTCCCCCGGAATTTTGGAATAGTGGTTCTGGAGCCTAGTCACATGGACTGGAGAGAGTGAAATGAATCAGGACAAGTTTGGTAGTAATATCCGCACTCCAGAGGGTGATGACTTTAGTGGTACTGCGCAGAGTCGAACTAGTCCTTTGCTCTCTCCTGAGCACAACAAATCGGACAAGTTTACAACATAGTGTGTTCATCCACAACGTTGCTGAGATATTTGAAAAACTCTGGACCACAGGTGTCTTTGGTGGGGAACGAACGCGCTACTTCCCGGAAAGGACAATAGCGCGTTCGTTCCCCACCATAGACACCTGCGGTCCAGAGTTTTGCAAATATCTCAGCAACGTTGTGGTTGTACTTCGCTTAGTACCCTGCCGCGAAATTATAGTAGGCAGAAAATAAAAAGGTATAACATAGTGTGTTCATGTTTCATACGAACTCTACTATTCTTATCTGAGATCACATTATGTAAGCAGCCCTCTCACCAGATGATAGACACACAGACGGTTTTATTCAATGGTATTTATCCGATTCCTTGCCGTGTATACGAAGTGCATGATAGCATCAGCTGACTCCACTGGAAGCCTTTCAAAATGATTTTCAACGCCCTCCAACATCTAAAATATGGATCACTCACTTCAAACAATCGGTTGATGACATTCAGATTACACAGATATCGTTGTTACTAGGGAGACAAGGAAAAAACGGGTACAAACCGCATGTTTACTGGCGCTTGCTTTTGTAGGAATCATGAAAAATTTTCTGTATCTCCGTAGACTCGCGGCAGAGAGTGCACATAAGCCACTCTGGAAAATCGTGCCTATGTTGGAGATTTCACTTCATTAATTAAGTAAAATTTCACCGTGGTGTTAGAAGTCACATACATATCTACTTACTTGGGCATTTGGATAGCCCGTCCTTACTGATCGTGCAGACCCAGCATTATTTCTAGTTTTTCGGAGTTTTGCTGGTTTAGCCATTGTGGTTCCCTGCAGTCCGGAGGTCAGTCTAGCCAAAGTCTGCCCCATGTCGTCATCACTACAAGCAGGCGCTGCCCTTGTGGACCAGAGCGAGATTTGCCGCCACGCGACTAGTTTGATACCAGGACGGTGACGGATCTTGGTACTGGTTTACTCCTAGCTGGGCTTCCTAATGGAAACGCTGGACTCCTCAGCTTGGGAGACCCTACCAGGTGACTAATCCTCCCGCTGTACATCGCAACACGATACCCAGGAATACCTCCTAGCCATGATGAGGCGGCAAACCGTTGGGAGGGGGAGAGGCAGATACATACCGCATCCTTGTAATTGATATTTCATAAAATAGCAGTTGAAATATGTTATAAATAAAATGTTACTTAAGAAAGTTGGACGCAATGTTTTCAGTGAGATGCTGGCCCTAGGGGATAATATTAATGAATAATGCAAACAACAAATAAAGTTTAATAAAACTTTCTTCGTCATCTTCACTATCCCGTTGATCCTCTTCATCATCGCTGTCATCGACTGGGAATGTTTTTGTATTTTTCGTTTCCACATCTTGCCAATCGGAAACTGCATTAAATAGCATAGCTAAGTCTTCTCGCAACTTCACAAATTTAAAATACTAAAAAGGATTTTGAAAAAGAGCAGAAAACGTCCTAAACAGAAGGACCACACAGACCTTTCTCTTCAGAGCTGTCCATTTCGTCATCAAAATCCTCGTGACCAGAAGATGTATGGTTGTCGGTAGCGATGCTGTATTTCTGAATGATTAAGTATTGGTGAAGGTATTACTTACAATGTGCATTAATACTAGTCATTGAGAAACCGTATTCTGACAAGTATATAAACCAGTATTCGCCTACCATTTCATCATCTCCTTCATTCTTATCATATTGAGTTTCACCCGTTTCATGAAATATCACTTCTTCATCATTCATGAGATCATCCGAATTTCCATATTTAATTAAGCGCCAGTGGAACAGACAAATACACATGTGGGGATCCTGAAAGGAAACCAATGAAGAGCGGTATCATGCGCAAACAAGCATAGCGAGCTCATAGGAATATCTGTTTCAGAAATCATCAAAAGCATAAGCTGTGAAACTATATACGTTGAACTTTTGAACAACATTTATATAACAACTAGAGGGGTGCGTGTGGCGGAGTAGTCCCAGACGCCTTGCAATACACATAGGATCGATTCCCGCACCCCTCATCCACCAAACCTTCCATCCTTCCTGGCTCAGCAAACTGGCACGAGACTTGTCTGGGGGATAGCAGCACTGGCTCGATACATCGATAGGCCATCGCGAGTTATTGTAAGGGCCAGATAGTCATTCAATCACATCCAAACCATGCTTAGTGAAGTCGAATGCAAGGCGCATGCTATGAGATTGCCCAGAGCTTTATCGTTCTATTTGCTTTTGTAACAACTAGAAATGCTCTAAAGAGACTCTTACATTTGCATGATATCACACACAAAGACCAGCATAAGCGTGTAGAATTCATTGCACAGAGGAATTAGCTTTTATTTTCTGGTCTTAGTTTGCTGAAACGCAATGGAATAATCCTCGAACGAATTTTTCTTTGCAAATCGTTTTTATAATGGCAACACAGTAGAGTAGCGGCCCGAGATCAGTCACCGGTGATCGCAACCAAACGGTGCGTGCGTGATGGAGTCCTTCGACGTTACCGCCCTTTATACAAACGGCGAAGGTATGTAGACGACTGCTTTGTCCTTTGCTCAACACAAGAGGAAATGGACAAATGCTTCGAATTGTTAAACGCACAGTCAGAGTTTATCAAGTTCACCCGAGAAAAACCGAAAGACAAATGGCTTCCATTTTTGAACGTACAAATTCACCTATCAGAAAATGGCTACATTACAAAGTGGTACCGAAAGCCAAGTAGTAAAAACATCTTGGTTCATTACCTCTCCTCTCACCCCTCTCACACGAAAAGGGCGCTTATAAGAAACATGTTTCGAACAGCAACCAACGTGTGCACGGGATGAGAGCAAAGAGAGGAGTCCCGGAACTTGGCAAGGCAAATAGCCATTTCTAATGGCTACGAAACTGTAGCTCAGGATAGGTGTAGAGGGAATCGTAGGCCTCCAAACGACAACTCTAGCGATAGAAGGAAGGGTCCCATTTATCCTACCCTTCATCTCAAAT